CTGCGCCCAAAACTTCGCTTTGAAACGACTATTAACTAAAATAAAACAGCCTAAACTCCCATCCCGCAACCCCCCCGCCCAGACTAGGCGGTTTTACCCGGAATCGGGGGAGGCGGGGGGTCCCGCAGTTCTGAGGCCGCTGGGTGAAGCCTCTGCAGTGCCGGGGAGGCTGGGCTGTAATTAAATTAGGGGGTTAATTAAACCCTGAAATCAAACCCAGTTCCTTTTCAGAGCTCTTCCTCCCAACAGATTAAAGACTGAAAACTACCATGGTGTTAATTTTTCTTTTTAAAATAATATAAACCCACATTAAAGCAGTTACAGTACCAGGATTGACATAACCATTAAACTTGTCTGAACACATTGTGGATCCTAGAGGATTCCAGGCCTCTTTCCTAAAATTTATTATTTAGCTTTTCCCCACACAAGAGGAGGCTAGGCTGTCACCACTCCTTAGCAGAAGGTGCTGAAGTTGGGGCAGGAATCCTCGGAAGATTTTGGATCAACTTGTAAGGCACTGCTGGAGAATTGCAGAATCCTTTAGGTTAGAAAAGACCTTTAATATCATCAGGTTCAACCATCAACCCAGCGCTGCCAGGTCACCACTAAACCATGTCCCTCAGCACCACATCTCTACAGGTTTTCAATCCGTCCACCAACAGAGACTCCACCACTGCCCTGAGCAGCATCTTCCAAGGCGTGACGACCCTTCCAAGGAAGAACTACTCCCGGCGTCCAAACTAAACCTCTCCTGGTGCAACTTGAGACCCTTTCTTCTTGTCCTGTCACTTATTTGGGAGACCAGACTGACATCCACCTGGCTCCAGCCTCCTTTCACAGAGCTGTCGAGAGTGACAACTCAGCCTCTCTTGAGCATCCTTTTCTCCAGCCTAAACAACCTTAGGTCCCTCCATTGCTCCTCATTTGTCCTCCAGACACTTCATCAGCTTTGTTGCCCTTCTTTGGACATGCTCCAGCCCCTAAAGGTCCTTCTTGGAGTGAGGAGCCCAAAACTGAACCCAGTACTCAAGGTGCAGACTCCCCAGTGCCAAGTTCAGGGGGACAGTCCCTGCCCTAGTCCTGATGGCCACACTATTTCTGATCCAAGCCAGGATACTGGTGGTCTTCATGGCCAGCTGTTGATCAGCCCCTCCAGATCCTTTTCCATGAGGCAGTTTCCAACCACTTTTCTCCCAGCCTGGAACATTGCAGTGGGTTGTTGTGACCCAAGTGCAGGACCTGGCTGTTGGCCTTGTTGGATCTCCTATCATTTGCCTTGGCCCATCAATCCAGGCCATCCAGATCCCTTTCGAGAGCCAGGGATCTTTTTTTTGGGGAATACTACCATGCCCCTGTGCAGGATGGCACCTATAGACAGATAAACATGAGCATTGTTGATGCCTTATCCTGCCCAGAGCTTCGTGGCTTCGACTGAAGGTAGAAAACAAGTGGTAGCAGCACCAAGGCACTGTTGGCAGTCACAGCAGCCAACAAGAACATGGCAGAGTAGTTAAGAGTTAAAAAAAAAAGCAAGAACCCTAAGAAAGTAATGACGTGAAAAAGTCCAAAAATGAGCTTACTGGCTGTGAGAAGTTTCAGCTCCTTGGTTACAAATACAAGCTATTTGGTTACAAATGGATGCAGCACCTACTCTGCTGCCCATCCACTCTTTAACATCCAAAATAGTCAAAACATCAAGATCCCAACCCTGCCCTGACCCTTGAGGGTCATGTTCTTCAACTAATGTAGAAAAATTCAAGAACTACTGGAAAAAACACAGTTCATCCTTTGCCCCCTGACAGTTTCATGTGTCAGTGCTGGGGTCCAAACCAGAGCTCAGGTTTCCACAGAAAAGTAATTCAGAGACAGTTATGTAGGGCTTTAAAAAGTACAATGATGAAGTGCACCAAGCTGTAAGTGACTGACATCTCTGTAAGGGTAGGTGTAGAACACGCTACACCTCTTCCTCAGGGTGGAACTGTGGACATGTGGTCTTCTGCAAATAATTATTATCTAGCCATGTTATCTGATACATTTGTGTTTAAAGAAGCCTCCTTACTTCAGAGCTCTTGGTCTACAAAAATGCAACGAGTATTAAAATCTCTTCGCAAAGAATCTGTGAAACAAGAAGATCAAAGGGCAGGTAATTCAAACTTGAGTTTTGGGTGTTCAAGACCTTGACAGAGCACCTCTGGACAAGTTTCTATTTAGACACTAGTGTGAGTGTCTCTCAAAGTAGGGCTGACAGAACTGAAAAAATCCACAAGAAATGCTCAAACAAAAAGTATCAAGTTTTTAATGTACATGTTCCACAGAAAGCAGTTACAATGCTGCACAGCAACAATCCCTGGTAATTTGCCACAGCCATTTTTATTCAAATACAAACAGCAATGGGAAAGCTGGGCAGGTTTTTCCTCAGGACACAAGTCTGGCCCTCGATAACCTTCACAGTTGATCCACGTCAAGCAGCATCTGACCATGCCCCACGTCACTGTGATGAGTGCTTCTGTGAGAGGTATCCTCGTTGGGCAGTGTAGGAGTGTTGGAAGGAGAACTCCTCTGGTGGTGACGGTACATGTACGCTCTGTCTGATCAAGAGCTGTGTCCCCCTCACCGTGCCGGATAATTCCCTCCCGGGGTAACCCAGGGCTGGTCCCAGCACTTCACTCGGCCTTCTGTCGAACAGCAATTCTCTCGGTCAAGACCGAGACGTAGAGCTTCAGCCACGCGTAGGTGACACCCACAGCACAGTACACAGAGGTCAGCAACAGGGGGACAAAAGGGAAGTTCTGTTTCCAGGGGGTCAGAGGAAATACAATTTCACAGAAGATTTCCAAAGGCACTAGTTGGATGAGGTAGATTGTTTCAAGCCAGTTAAGGAGAGGCCTCTCTCTCCTGTCAGGGAAATTAAAGAAAAAGACAGGGTTAAAATGTGCGATGTTAACTGAAAATAACTGTTCTGCTTTGCAGCTATCGCTGGTGACCAGTGCAAAGAATATGCCCCTTAGTTCACAAGAAGGCTTTAAATAACAACTTAAAGATTCAGTAGGAAAAAAACTGTGTGATGAGAAAGAATACAGTGAACTTCCATCTCACTTGGCTTTTACACCAAGCCCCATGATGCCATGATGGCATCTAAGTGGAAATCTCAGCAGCTGCTTCTCCTGACAGCTGAATAGAGACCTCTGTACACACACGTGTCCACCAAAGTTTTCTGACTGGAAACGTCAGATTCCTCCTCCTCCCCTTCAACAAGCTTTCTGTAGGACCTACAAGGAGTCAATCTCTCTCACAAAGGACATCAGCAATAGGGTTTTGCCTGCAGGTAGTTTACAGGGGAGTTCATGTTTTTCTGGAGGCAATTAGGTTTGTTTTGGCTAGTCAGGAACAAGAGACTTGCAAAAGCTCCATCTTTAGACAAAACCAAAGCTCTTACAGAGGTTTTCAGTGAGAGACAGAACGTCTCTCTTTAGTTCTTAAGTCAGTATGATTGAATCCTGGAATACGAAGTGGAAAAAAAAGCAGTCCTGTTGATAGAGGAACACCTGCTAAAAGCAGCTGACTCAAGTAGTGAATACAGGTTTATAGCATTTCCAACATCCTTCATTACAGCTTGGTTTTGCCACAAAAAGCTTGAGAAACAGGAAGTGGAAACTACAGGGGTTATAAGGATAAATGCTATCTTTTTGAGGTCTGACTAGGTGACCTTTAAGGCTCCTTTCAAACCCAAACCATTCTATGATCTTGGGTCAGGTGAGTAAGAATCAATCCGTATATAAATCCTCACCCAAATACAGAGGAGGGATTCACAGCTTGCTGGGACTAACTGGGCAGCTGTCCTAATTCAAACACAAGGATGTGCTGTAATAATCCTAAGCCTTGCCTCCTGAGAAGAGAGGAGAGGCAGCAGCATCTCTGGACTAGAAACACTTCAATTTGGTACTTCAGCATCACTTGTCTGTGCTGTTCACTCCTTCAGACAATGCTGTTTGCAGTGACAGAAGAAACAGTTTTGTTCTTGGCATTGGGAACAAGTTTGTTTCATTACCTGAATAGAGACTTCAATGAAGAGAAGCTGTAAACAGTAAACAGCAGCATAAGCAGGATCTTAATTGGAAGTTCTGAAACAAGGAACACAACATACTTTCCAAATTAATCAAGAAAACCTTCTGCCATATAAATTGCAGTATTACATTTGCATTGTCCAGCTTAATTATCTTCCCCAAACAGAACTAAATGTTTTATAGCTTAGGACACAAGAGTAAGCATAGATAATTACTAAAGCCAATGCCTTTAGTAAAAAGGGAAGGAAGAAAGAGGAGGAAGGAGAGAGAGGGGAAAACAGCTTTTGGTCACAAAGACAAATCTCTCCCTTTACATACTGAAGTAACTGATGTTGCTCCATGCTGTTTTAATTTAAGCACATCACTGACAGCATGAAGGAGCAGTCAGCTGGAAAACAGCCTGACAGGTTTGTGGTTTCAAACTGCCTCTAACATAACCATGTGAAGCAAAAATAATAAACGGGGAAGTTTCTAGAACTGTGGCAGAATAAGTGATAAATATTGACTATGACCATTTCCCTTTTTTAATTCACCTTAAAGCCTATGGGTCTTCAACAGCATTTTAAATCAACCTTTCTTTTCACTAGTTTGTATTTATGGGAAAAGGCTGACATACAGACTCCTGCAACAACTTATTACATAAAATAAATGAAACCCATTACCTGGCACCATCTCTGGGGAAAAAAACCCCACAAACAAAGAAAACCCCACAACCCCCAAAGCAGTAAGATGAAAGCACAAAGTGGGAAAACACTTTACCTGGTGGTGTATACAACAATGGAAACAGTGAGAAATGCCCTGTGGTTGTCAGAATCAAGTAGATGCCAGCATCCTTTGCTCTCTGAACAGACAACAAGCTAGAAGTGACAAGAATTTTGTTATGCTTTTGTCTTTTAGAGATGAACCTTAATTTCAGTAAAACACTACCCAATTTACAAGAAATGTAAGAACAGGTCCAATACAGCTTTTAAGTACCCCAGTCCCTCCAAACACAGGACCTGTGATGGAGTCTCCAGCTTCCAACTATGTGGCCTCTGAGATAAAAATGCAGGAGAAAGATCAGCCAGGAAGCCCTCCCCCAGAAAACCACCCACCCACTGAACAAAAAATATCAGAAAGGCCTGAAGTTTTCTACAGACATTCCTTTTTCCTTTGCCAGCTGACTGCCAACATTGTCATCCCTACTTTTTCCTCTTTCCTTTAGTTTTCTCCAGAGTTAATTCCCTCCCTCTCACAATTCCCACTTCAAGAGTTTAAACTTCTGAGCAGTCTGTAGAAAGCTGATGAACTAGAGCCTCACTTCTACCAAAAGGCCTTAGTGCCTCTTATGGGTAGAAGCTGTTCTTGTCCAACACAATGCAGGAAGTCCCTTTCCTCAGTTTGCTTCTGAACAATCTAAGCAATAAAGTTTTAAATATGAATCACAGCACTCAAAGCTTGAGCTGCCTGGCTCAATCTTTTTTACATTTGTCCCTGACAAAGTAGATCTTTAAACTTACCTGTTCTCAGAGAGAAAAAAAAGAACTTAAATTATGCATGCTTGCCAAACTTGAGTCTGGCAACCTCCCCATAGCAGGAGTGTTGGAACTAGATCCTCTTTAAGGTCCCTTCCAACCCAAATCATCCCATGAGTATGGCAGCAACATCAAATGCTTCAAACCAGGCATGCCAATTAATTTTTCTCTTTGAAAGGCAAAGCCACAAGACACATAATGAATAGGTCTTGGGACTTTTTGGGTGCAATGAACATACTGCGTAAAAGCTCTAGTAACAGTGGGGGACATAAAAGATCCTACAAAATCAGCCTGCTTTCATCCACCAAGTTACACAGGTGAAATGTTTCATCAAGCCTGTTCCCAAGCTGCCACTAAGGAAAGGACGCTTCAGGGGTAAGCTAAATGACTTCCTAGGAGCTGTGTGTCCACATAGAGGCTAAAGCTGACCCCCTTTCTTTTGTGAGCATGGGTTTTGAGGGTTTTTTTTTGCATTATTCTAACAGAGATCAAATGCCTGAATCCAAACACACTGATTTTCTGTCATACTGTGCATCTTAATACAACTCAGCATTCAAAGAGACACAAAAGAGCACATGTAGCGCCCAGGCCAGCGTGTCAGACTCCCAAAAGCAACTGCTTACTCATCCCAGCACCACATGCTTCTGTTCTCCTGATCATCTGTAAGTTAGCACAAAGCTTTGCTGTGCCTCGCAGAGCTGGTACGGGAATCAGCTACACCCAACAAAGCTCTGCTTAAAGCTTCCATCAATGCAAGGGATTGTAAAGCATGAGCCACTGTTAGTGTGGCATAAAAGATCACGTTTGTTTGTTTAACACCACACCAGTTTCCTACATACACTGTACCTACATCAGCACATTTTACTGCAAAGGCACCTTTTACTGGGCCCGAGATTAATTTACTTGAAGCACACTAGAATTTTACAGCTGAAGGCATTGTATAAACGTGTTCCTTTTCTGAAATACACTCAAAACAAATGGATTCTCTTTGAGGATCTGTCAGCAAGGTGTTGCAGGTTCAGTTTGGCCAAGTGCTATGTACAAAAGTCACTCACCTCAACGGCAGAATAGCGAGGAGGATTGCTTTCTCATGCACGTGCCAGCCGAACACGAAGGAGCTCAGCGCACAAAGAACAAGGCACTGTAGAAAGCCTCGGGGCCCTTGAGGTTTAAACCAAAGACAGAAAACAGAGGGCTAGAAACAACAGGCAAAAACAGGACTTCAGTGAAAAGTTTGGCAAACCTGACCACAAGCCATTGTCCAAAGAGATTCTTTTCAATATTAATAAACAGCACTGCAACAGGTTATGCTTGTGTAAATGCACAAGCATTACGCAGCAGTGGAGGAACCATATCTGTCTGGATGTATAAGCAGAACCTGAGGGACTCTGTCAGTGTAATAGGAGGGGAAAAGCAGACAAGGACCACAGCCAAGTCCCTGTTATTTGTGCTGCAAGAACTGTCGTTGAATCTGAGCCACTAAGCTGATTTTAGTAATGTTACTACATAAAGGTGTTGAAACAACTACTCGGTTAAAGGCTTATTGCTCCTCAGAGTGAAATGTAGCCAGGTAATTACTTAATGAACTGTCAATTCTTTGGTCATCACGTGAAGAACACTGCTCTGACCTGCAGCTCATTCTGTTGGGAACACAATAAGCTGCCCAGACAGTCCCATCAGTATCACTGCTCACACCCTAGTTCAACTACCTTTTGCCACAAAAGTTTACTACTACCTCAGCATGCAGAGTGATTTTGATCACTCTGTGGTTTGTGCTTTTAACAATCTTTTAACCATTCTAGGGTTGACAGGGGCCATAATTTTAGCCATACTTGAAGAAAGTATTTTATTATTTTAATAATTTAATAAAGATACAAGAATTAAGTTAATATATTTATTAATTCCACATGAATCCTAATAATCGGTCTTTTTTTTTTTTCTTTTAGAAGAACACCTACTTGTTGCCCTAGAATTAAAAACCACGTGAAGTGCACACTAATCAGATAAAACCTACTAGGGACAAAATACATCAAGTCTCCAAAACCCATTAATTGTTCTTACCAATATAGATATGAAAGTACAGATTAATGTTGCCAGTGGAGTCACAGAAGGGAGGACTGTGTGTTGAAACTCTTGAACCAGCCCTCCTGTCATCGAGGCTTTAGGAATTTTTGTGGGATCAAGCAAATTACACTTTAAACCTATGAACAAAACATAAAAAAAAAAGGCACTAACTGATAAATGTTAAAGAAAATGAAGTAGCTGAACTAGGTAAACAGTCAAACTTTTTCTTTTTAAAAAGACAAAGAGGTAAGAGTGACTTCTGACCTACCACTGGAAACGTATGATGCACTAAACTGCACAAACAATCAGATGATACAAGGCAATCTTGAAATGTAATTTACTACCTGCATTTAAAACAGGGAAGAAATACTAAAATCCAGAAAGCTCCATCTGCAAATAGGCACCAAATTGCAAGATTAGGAGGATACTGTACCAAAAATTGTTAGTGCTTTATCCACAGCATTGTACAAAGCCCAGAAGTTAGGGGCCCAGTAGGCATGGCAGAGGCCTCGCTTGAAAGGAAAAAGCCGAGACATGACTTGAGGCAGCTGGCCCTACAGAAACAGGAAGAAATGGCCTCTTTAGATGAGACATGGTTTGTATATAACACCATTTTCTAACAGTTCAGTGGAACAACAGGGGAAAAAGGGTTATTACCAATACTATGAAGGGGCCCAACGAAAGAGCAGAAACAAGACAGACAATCAATCCCAGAAGAGTTACATGAAGCAAGCTGAAACTTCTCCACTTCAGGGATCCATCTACAAGAAGCAAACAGATTTCAGTACTTTCTCTGTCAAGAGAAGCAACTTCTCTGGTTAATGTGAGGAATATCACATGTTTTTCAGTGCTGAGTGGAGAGAAATCCCAAGGAGTATCAGAAGCTGTTTTCAGAGTCCTAACTAATAATTTCATAACTGGAATAACACTTACAGCTTTGAGCTGCCACCTGCAGTTTGTTCATGTTCTTTTTTCCAAGTAAAGAATGCACTAGAAACATGAATTTACATAAAGAAATTTCAAAGACCTTTAAAGATCTTACCAACTCTGCTACCCAAGTAGAATTTTCGTTTGAACTACAGACATATCACCCTGATGGTATCCAAGTGTCTTGTGTTTTTCTGAGGCCCCTCTAATAAACACAATCCCCCCCAAAGTGAGAAAAAATCCATCCTACCTGCATTATTTGCAGTAAAGCAATAGGATCGCAGCAAGTAGATGCCATATGCTGGGGCCACATACAGGTAGATATGTTTGAAATGAAGAAGGACAGCAAAAAGAAGAGCGCCTTCTAAATATCTTTTCTAGAAGAAAAGCAGAACAAGCCCTGAGCTCCTCTACTTGTACTCCCCTTTGTAGTAACTTTTTAATGGTCCCCTGTTGTACTCCTAAGGTGACAGAACATTCACCATAGGCATAATGAAAAAAGTATTTACTTCAAATGACAAGCTCAGCAGTGTTATGCACAATAAGTACAGAGGAGCTGTGACACGATGGTCGGAAAACTGGGAAAGGCCTCCTGTCCCCACAGCTTCAGAGGTAGGTTTTCTAAGGACTGATGACGTGGCAGGAGACAAGATAGCAGGAAACCATGCCATGTTGCTGAGGTCTAGAAGAATGTAGCTTTCTCACAGGGAATGGCAATGCTGCAGCACCAGCAAGCCATTATGTGGAGTTTCAAGTTCTCTTTCCCCCCAAACTCAACAAATAAGTAGACATCCACCTTAGCACCTCCTAACACCTTCAATAAAAGCAGCACAGCAAAGATAAGTAATGCAGCTAAAATACACATGGCAACCAACAGAAAATAGCTGCTCAAGTTTACCTGACACAGTCGGGCAACAGAAAGAAGCATCAGCCCAAACAGAAAGCCATTGTACTGGAAGTGAATATCTGGACTTGAGTCAAGGAAGGAATAATGCAAGATTTCTTTACTCCTCTCAGTCTTCTGGGGAAAATTCAAACTTACAAACAGTAAGCTCAAATTAAAACGGAACTTAAATCAAGAAAGTAACCTTAAATTCACTCCACCTCAACAAGAAGTTACTACTTAACCATATCCCTAAGCACAAAGACCACTAATACCGGTACTTTATCTTGATGAAGGGAAGCGTAACAATCCGACCACATATCTGCCATGCAACTTATCTAAGTGAGAACAAATAAAGGCTTAGTTCTCAAAAATTTTTGAATTTTAAATATTAGTTCAGCCTCCCATTGGTTAATGGATGGAGACAGCAACCCTCAGTCTACTTCTAAGCAGGCAACTTAAATAAGGTCGGGGACAGACAAAAGTAGTCCTTCCTATCAAAGAATTCCTGTTGTTTTCCCCCTGTTCCCTCCTCAGCTAGATCAATGCACTTGTCTCAAGACTGATTCACCATAACTGAATTTTCTGGAGGTGTTTTTTATATCCTATTTAAAAAACCACCATGCTAATTCTCATGTAATATTAACCAGTTGGATACAGTCTGAACATAAGCACTCGTGCAGGTTTTCCTTGCCACGGGACAAACCTAGAACCACACCCAGCAGAAAAAGAAGCTCTCTGCTAACACTTCTGTGTGCAGAGAGAGGAACAGCGGCCAGCAGGAACAGGCATGCTGCTGTCAGACTGGTCCACCTGCAGTTCTAGAGAATTAGACCAAAAAGCAAACAATTTCCTTTTTGCCAAATAACTATTATAATGAAAACATGAAGTTATTCAACTAACCCACAAACACAAACAGCACAGTTACTTGCTGTGATAGTAAGAAGAATATCCATGGGTTTGCACAAAATGCTGTAACAAGTTGCTAAAAAACCAACCAAACAAACAACAAAACAAAGCACAAATTACTCACAGTAGTTTAAAAGGATACGATCCACAATTAACAACCCAAAATTCCACAAGAGCAGAACAGCAAGAATAAATGGTGGCTTTTCCAGGATATCCTTTGCAGCTCGTTTTCCGTTTACCAATCTGCAGCACCTGAACATGAGCAGAAGAAACAGAAGTCTTGACTGGAACAGCCAACAAAAACATTGTTGCTTTGGCGAGTTGAGAAGTGCACTTAGAATCACAGAATCATTATGGTTGGAAATAACCTCCAAGATCATCAAGTCCAACCATCAACCCAACACTACAATGACCACTAAACCATGTCCCCAAGTGCCTCATCTACACGTTTTTTTTGAACCCTCCAGGGCTGGGGACTCCACCACCTCCCTGGGAAGCCTGGGCCAAGGCCTCACCAAAGCTCATCTCATTTAAGCTGAAGTTAACTCGTTTATTAGAATGGACGGCAACAATAAAATTCTTGCTAAACTAATCAAGACAGTGTCAGGAATTAAGTTTATTAAACAAAGGATCTTAAATTTCAATAGCTGCAGTATGTTCCGTGTCCTAAAGCTTATGTTATGTCTCAGGTTCAAGTCCCACGCTCAATAATAACTATACAGTTGTCATAACCTGCTACCAACTTCTCATGAATGACCAGTGTATTGCCCTGCCTAGAGACAATGTGCCACATGGTATTTAAGGTCCTCAGCTGGACATTAACCTCTTCATGGCTCCCCACCAGCACCACTATGATTCTATTGGTTTAAAAGATCTCATTACTTCTCAGTGTGAAGCCGTATAGGCCACATAATTTTTGAAGGCAAGGTTAGATCATAGTAAAAAGTAGTGGATGACTAGACACAAGGAAATTTTTTTATCATGAAGGTGGTGAGCCCCTGGCCCAGGTTTTCCAGAGAGGTGGTCACTGCCCCATCCCTGGAACCATTCCAGGGGAGGTTGGCAGCGGCTCTGAGCAACCTCTCTAGTTGCAGATGTCCCTGCTCCCTGCAGGGGGGTTGGACCGGATGACATTGACAGATCCCTTCCAACCCAAACCATTCTGTGATTCATGCCAAACTGCTGTTAGCAGATCCATTTTAAGAAAGTCAGCTCACTCATGCATCTGAGTGGAAACATTAAAAGGAAAAAAGTCACACTGAAAAGCTCGCCTGTTTCAAACAAAGAAAGTAAATGAAGGAGCTTAGGTAGCACTCCAGTGCAAGAGGGAACTTCACCCAGATTCTGAGCAGACAGAATCAAGTGAGGTAAGACCTTTACAGCTTAAGGTAGGCAACATAATTCTCAAAACATCTCCTCCCTCTATTCTTTAGGTGTTAGATAAACACTTCTTCACAAAGTCAGGGTATGCAGACAATCTTAATACTGTTAAATTACACTTGGAATAACCAGATTATGATCAAGAATATCAAAACCACTGAAATGACTTAGCATACTGAGATGATACCAGCAATTTATCACAAGTTTCCTTTATGCTCTTCTCTACAATAACAACAGTCATAAGAAAAGGAAGAGGAAAAAACAGTTGGGTGCACCCAAGCTGTCCTGTAACATCTATAAAGCACACCCAGTGACAGAAAATCCACCTGCAACGTGTAAACATGTACAAATAGGAGGACAGCAGTAACATCTCCACGAACAACAATTATCCTGTGTTTAGTAGCATGTTCCAAATTTCTCTTTGAATGGATTAAAAAAGCTTTGATATTTCCATGCATTTACAAGCTTATTTGAACAAATAATTACTGGTTGCTATTCTAGATCCATATATTAATGAGTACCCACAGTCCCTAAAATGAGAACATCAAGACTTACTCACGAACTGCATATATGAAAAGGATATCTGTAAAGATGACAGAAAGTCTTTGGAAGAAGATGGTTGCACGACTGGTGTAATTCAGATTTTCGATGACCAACATCTTGGGGTCAATGTACTTGGCAATGTGCGAAAGCATATACTCAAACCAAGCAAACAACGGTGGGTAATCCAGGGTCCATTCTGAAGTTGCCTAAAGACAAAATAAGATTAAAGTCTCTAACAAAATCCGTGCTCTTTGCAGCCCTTCAGGACCGTAGTTCCCACATAGCTCCTCTGGTTCATCACAGCAACTCAGCTGATGTATTTTACTGTCTTTAGCTAACAAACTTCAGAAGAAGTAGCCAGCTGTTTGGTGCTAAACATGATTTGAGCTGCTCTTCTGCTGCACTGGCACAGGGATGGGGTATCTTTTGATTAATAGAACGAAATTAAACAGCACTTTGTGTTTCTGCACCTAATCAGGATATAACTGGCTGTTCTTAATCAACTTGCAGCAATAGTGCCAATATTTTAAAAAAATCTCAATAAACCAGCTCACTGTGAATCTCTGTCTACATTAGAGAAGCCACCAGCAGATTCAGCCTTGTTAGTCTCAAGATTATTTTTATTCTTAAATCAACAAGTCTTAATTCTAATAAGTCCTTATCAAAATTAAATAACAGTATTTTATCTTTTCCCATAAAGGCCATCGTTATGCCCTCACCACCAGTTAACTCCTTGGCTGTGGAAACTGGAGAAGAGGAATGAGGAAAAGAGCAGGTTGGAACGGGGTGTATTTGTCAGCATGCACATTCCAAATTGCTTATTTTATGCTGCTGAAAGGCATTTGAGCATTTATCCCTGGGATCACGCTGGCATCACAGGAATTTGTTTTACAGTATTGGATCAGCCTGTCAGGAAGTTCTGAGCCTCACCAATCATTTACTCTGGGATACACTGTTCCCAGATGCCAATGGGGAGGAATACTAGAGCCTGTAATTACCCCAGAACTGAAGGAGATAGCTTAATACCCAAATCTAGGATGAGTCGATCATTGACTTAAAGGTGATTCACCTACATCAACATTGCTGTGTGCTAGGAGCACACCAGCAAAGGCTCAAAACTTCATCAGAGTGATTGATTTCAAACCTTATATACCTGTTTTTGTGACTCAGCTGTTAGCACAACAACCGCATATCGTTAACAAGAGCAGAGAGCAGCAATTTAAAACTTCCATGCAGCTTGCTCTTGAGTCACAAAGCCTCCTAACAACCCATGTGCCTTTTTTTCTCCCTTTTGCCTTCATAAGTAACAGCAGCTTCACCAAACAACTCTCACTTCTTAACTAAATGCTACGAAGGGCCAACAAATCGTGACTGGAATATTCTGAAGCACTGCACACAGTTGCCAACCACCTGTATCCACCATGTGTACTTTCTGCAGATATAAGCCTTGCTCCTCTAGTGTTCACAGGAGCTGACATACCCAAAATACCTCTAATTTATACACAGTTAAAAAACTCCAAACACATACTTACTTCATAGTACCACTGAGAGAGGGGCAAGTTGTGAGTGATGGCAAGCCAATTCCTGTGTACTTCAAAATCTGTGGAATAACTACAGAAAAGTTTGTATTAAGAGTCACATATATGCACATAAAGGAGAAATGTTTCAGAGCACAGCACCACAAGCAGATGAAAAGGAAACGTGTGCTGACCCGCTCTAGGGCAAGACTTTGATCAAGTAACTCAAACAGGAGCAAAGATGCTGCAGAAACTCCATGCCAAGGACGTATATGGGCAACATGCAATAGGACAAGAGGAAATTGCCTCAAGTTGCATCAGGGAAGGTTCAGGCTGGAGATAGGAAAAATTTCCTCACCAAAAGGGTTGTCCAGGCCTGGCTGAGGCTGTCTAGGACAGTGTTGGAGTCCCCATCCCTGGAGGGGTTTCCAAGCCGTGGAGATGTGGTGCTGAGGGACATGGGTTAGTGGGGACCTGGCAGTGCTGGGTTAATGGTTGAACTCGATGGTCTTAAAAGTTTTCAAGACTTTTAGAAGCAATTCTGTGTCTTTTGTCCTATCTGTAGAAGTATAAAATCATTTTAGTTGGAAGAGACCTTTAAGTCCAAACGTTCCCTGCACATCTCCACGGCTTGGAAACCCCTCCAGGGATGGGGACTCTACCATTACCCTGGGCAGCATCTTTTTAGCTCAGCCTTTTCTAACATTCAACAGCAAAATTCCAGATTGACTGATTTTTTTAACAGCAATTTAGTACTTTCTTTTAGGAAAAAAGCCACACTGCCTTTTAAAATTAAAAGGCATTCATCTTTCAAAGCTCTCCCCTGACCAACAACGACGCGAACAAGCTGTAAGCGCCCTCAAACACCCAACCAACCCCACCTCCCACGGCAAG